ATAATTAGCTGCTATTGGGTGGAGTATTCTGTATATGTCTATGAAGTTGAGTTGGTTGATTGTGGCATTTAGATATTCTGTATCTTTACTGAGTTTCTTTTTAGATGTTCTGTCCTTCACTGAAAGTGGTGTGTTGAAGTCTCCTACTATTATTGTGGACCTAGCTATTTCTCTTTTCAATGCTATTAGAGTTTGTTTTATGTATTTTGGAGCCCTATCATTGGGTGTGTATATATTTATTATGGTTATGTTCTCCTGGTGTATTGACCCTTTAATCATTATACAGTGTCCTTCCTTATCCTTTATGGTGGATTTTGCTTTAAAGACTATTTTATCGGAGATTAATATTGCCACTTCTGCTCTTTTTGGTTATTGTTTGCTTGATATTTTTTTTTCCATTCTTTGAGTTTTAGTTTGTTTATGTCTTTGTGTCTAAGGTGTGTCTCTTACAGATGGCATATAAATGAATCATGTTTTTTTTTTTTAATCCATTCTGCCACTCTCTGTCTCTTTACTGGTGCATTTAGGCAATTTACATTCTGTGTAATTATTGATAGGTATGAGTTTACTGCTGTCATTTGTGTGTGTGTGTGTGAGTTGATGGTTTCTTTGTTCTGCTTAAATATCTGTGCTGAGTTCTTTTTGTTTATATATTTTCTTTCATCTCTTTCGTTATTGTTGATTTTGTGTTTGCCAAGTCTTTTATGTTTTTCTTCTTTTTTATTTTGATGGGTAGGTTTGTTAGCTTCCTTTGTGGTTACCTTGAAATTTACCTTTATTATTCTAAGTTTAAACCAGTCTTTTATTTTTTTTGTTATTGACTTGACTTCCTCTCCATATGGAGGTTCTATGACTACACCACGTAGTCCCTCTTTTATTTTGATGTTGTCATCATTTACATATTGACGTCTCTGGTTCCCTATTTTCAGTCTTTTAGCTTTGTTTTGTTTTTGCGAATTTGCTACCTGGATTGGTATCTGGTTGATTTGTCCTGTGTCCTAGTCTTGGATTGTTGTCTGATGTTGTTGATTCTCTTTAACATTTCTTGTAATTTTGGTCTGGTTTTTACAAATTCCCTTAATTTCTGTTTATCTAGAAATGACCTAACTTTGCCATTATTTTTGAGAGACAATTTTGCTGGATATATAATTCTTGGCTGGCAATTTTTTCCTTCAAGGCTTTATATATGTCATCCCATTGCCTTCTTGCCTGCATGGTTTCTGCTGAGTAATCAGAGTTTAGTCTTATTGGTTCTCCTTTGTAGGTGACTTTTCATTTGTCCCTAGCTGCTCTCAGGATTCTTTGTCTTTGGTTTGGTAAGTTTGATTATGATATGTCTTGGTGACTTTCTTTTGGTGGGGGGAGTTTATCCTGTATGGGGTTCATTGAACTTCTTGGATATTGTCTAGTGTTTCATGATATTAGGGAAGTTTTCCGCTAGCAAATCTTCAACAATTCTCTGTGTTTCCATTAACCCCCCACCCCATTCTGGAATGCCGATCACTCATAGGTTTTTCCTCTTGATAGTATCCCACTATTGTTCCTTAAACAAATTGGTGTCAAGGGATTTATCTTCAATCTCACTAATTCTGACTTCCATTTTCTCAATTCTGCTCTTATAACCTTCTGTTGAGTTGTCTAATTATGAAATTTTATTGTTAATCTTTTTGATTTCTAGTTGCTGTTTTTGTACGGTTTCTAGCAGCCTGTTTATTCTGTCATTTTGTTCTTGTATTGTCTTCCTGAATTCTTCTGTTGCTTTGTCTGTGTATTCCTTGGTTTGGTCTGTGTTTTGCCTGACCTCCTGGAGAGCTCTGTATATTAGTCTTTTGAATTCTTTATCAGGTAGTTTCATTGCCTTATCTTTCTCCAGGAGGTTTTCTATTTCTTTATTTTGGTCACTTGCTGGAGCCATTTTGTCCTACTTCTTTACATGATTTTACATTGACCGTTGTCTCTGAGGTATCAATAAGTTATTATATTTATTTATTGTATTTTTGTTTACTGTGTCCTGTATTTTTGTTTTGTTTTGTTTTGATACATACAAGTAGGCTGGGCATGTGTGCTACTCTGGTCATTGGCGTCGTTGAAGCTGTCACCTCCTGTTTCCAATTGATCAGAGCAGCTACTTGGTGTGTGAGCCTGGGAGTCTGTTCACTGTTCTTGCAGGGGTGTTGAAGATGTATGTGATGTTTTTGGTGAAGTGATGAATCTGTACTGCTGGTCACCCGGCCATGGGTGTAGGGCATGTTCTCCCTGGTCATTGGGTGAGGGTTGTGTGTGCTCCAGTTGGTTGGGGCACAGGTGCCAAGGTCGTTGGTCACCAAGTATGTGATGTAAGGACTCTCGCCTACAGTCTTGGGTGGGCAAGTCTGCATGGGGGTGTTCGAAGCAGGCACAGGTCTCCGGTTGCAGTGGGGGGCTCTGTGGGGGCAAAGCAGGGGGCTGTTGGCTGCCCCAGGGTGCCCCATGAATGGCATGCCCCAATCCGCTACAGCACATAGTGGGGAGGGGTAGTGCAGCTGGTCCTTGGGCACCCTGGGTTTGGCTGAAGGGAGTCTAGTGCTGCTATAACAGAAATACCATGAGTGGATGGCTTTAACAAAGAGAAATTTATTCTTTCAAAGTCTAGGAGGCTAGAAGTCTGAATTCAGGGTGCCAGCTCCAGAGGAAGACTTTCTCTCTGTCGGCTCTGGGGGAAGGTCCTTGTCATCAGTCTTCCCCCAGTTGAGGAGCTTCTCAGCACAGGGACCCTGGGTCTAAAGGACATGCTATTCTCCTGGCTCCTGTTTCTTGGTGGTACGAGGTTCCCGTCTCTCTTCTCGCTTCTCTCTTTTATGTCTCAAAAGAGATTGACTTAAGACACGACTTAATCTTGTAGATCGAGTCCTGCCTCAACCTAACTGCCTCTAATCCTACTTTATTAATATCATACTGGTAGGATTTACAACACATAGAAAAATCACATCGCACAGAAAAATCACAAAATGGTGGACAACCACACAATACTGGGAATCATGGCCTAGCCAAGTTGACAAATATTTTGGGGGGCCATAATTCAATCCGTAACAGGGCTTCACTAATTCTCAGACTCTGTCATAGGCAGCTAGATGGAATGGGTGGTGCCACCAGCCCTCACGCCCCCGGTGTGGGTGCATGAAGTCCCTTCTTAGGGCAGGGGGCAGGGGACGATGTTGAATGTTATGAATCTGCAGCTCCCACTTGGCTGCTGCTGGTGAAAATGGGCTTCAGGATTGAGGCCCTACCTGTTTTGTCCTAATGAGGGCATGCCATGTAGGCTCGGCCTGCAAGGCACTGGTGCAGGTGGTCAGGATGGGGGATAAAAGATGCTGCAAGTCTGTGGACCCCCTAAGCCAGTGGCTGGCGAGGGAGTGGATCCCTCCAGACCCAGCTCTTGAAGTTCCTGGCTTAGGGGTGTGGAAGTGTTGAATGCCACCAGACTGGTGTAGGAGCAGGTAGGGGGATCGATCAGGAGAAGGGAATGCTCCTTGGCTGTGCAGCTCTAGTGGGGGAAGGGTTATAGTGTGCATGTGTGGTGGGTTGGGAGCTTGCATTTAACTTTCGCAGGTCTGGTGCCACTCCTGATTGGTTCTGGAGGTACGTGCAGATTCACTGCTGCTTAGCTACACCAGATGGGGTGGGTTTCAGCTTGAGATGTTGCTGTTTGCCTCAACTGTGTGAGCTGTGCAGATTCAGCTAGCAGGATGCCGGCGAATCCATGACCCGTAGTTCCCTGTTTCCGCTGTTTTTTAATTGTCTCTCCTTCTACCTGTCCTCAGTCCGGTTCTTCAGCTTTGTCTTTGATGATTAGGATTCCTAGATTGTCATATATATCCAATTCACTTGTTTTTTCAGGTCTTTGTTATAAAAGGGATGACATTCTGCCATCTTGGCCCCACCTCTGAACCAAATTTTTGAATGTCTTGTGGGTAGGTGGCAGCTTCCACTCTCCTATTCCTTCATCCTTCTTTTTATTGAAGAGGAATAGCCATAGTTTGAAAACTTGTCTGTAAACCTGGGAGTTCAGTGCACTATGGCAAAAAAATTTTTTTATCTGTCCCCAGGGCCAGATTACCCAGTAGGCATGGGCTTACTTGTGTGTATTTACTAATCTGCAGTGAACAATTTCACAAGGGCTTCACCACGTGTGAAATTGTTCACTATAGATCAGTAAGTAAGCACAAGTAAGCCCATGTGCACCTTGCTTAATGTAAGCCAGTGCATACTTGCTTAGTGGTTAATCCGCCAATGTCTGTTCCCAGTAGGTGTTCAGCAAAAGCTTGCTAAGTGGATGGATGGATTGATGGATGGACAGATACAGAATGGTTTAGCCTAGTGGAAAATATTTGAGTGTTTAAATGTGAGTCATATATGATTTCCCATGTCAGTTTTGTAGTTTCAAAATTCCCCCTTGCTGATTTCACCACTCTGGGTCAATACTATCATTCAAGTGACTTAGTGACTGAGATGCAAATTTACTGCAGAATCCATCTCCAAATTCTGACATATAGTAGATACTCAGTAAATTATTGTTGGTGGTGTAATGAATGAATGGATGAATGTTAATTTTCTTAGCAGTTGTTATTTTTCATTTAATTCCCAGTAAAACCTAACTACTTCTGTGAGGCTCTTCGCTGTACTTATCAAGACACCTGGCCTTTCCCATGTTGCTGATGAGCAGCTGCAACGAGGTAATGAGTTAGGGCTCCGTCCTCCAGACACTGAAAAAGGTCTTTAATAAAGCAAGGGAGCCATTAAGCATGGGAAGCGCTGGTGGCACAAAGGTTAAGCACTCAGCTGCTAACCAAAAATTGGATGTTTGAACCTACCCAGCAGCTCTGCAGAAGAAAGATCTAGCAAACTGCTTCAGTAAAAATTATGGGGCAGTTATACTCTTTCACATGAATGGGCATCGACTGGACAGCACCCAACAACAACAACAAACTCTAATAGGCTGTGGATCTATTAAAATTCCTTACCTTGTGCTTGGCAAATGGCATCTGGAAGTTGCCTAAGCAAATTGTGACGGCAATCAAGAATTTCCAGGTTAGGGAGTAAACCCAAGGATTCGGGCAGATACTTCAGGTGATTGTTCTCTATACGCAGTTCTTTAAGACTCTGAAACAACATGAGAGTGTACCATAATGGTCCTTAACTTGACAAGTGAATTATAATAACCAGAATCACCTATGAGTTCCCATGCCCTTTAAATGGGGGGAATTATGCATTGGGATAAAGGAAAAAAACATATTTAAAGAACCATCTTCAAGAAATAAAACTATTTTTGAGAAAGCCATTGGACTCATTTCCCATTTAAGCAGGGAAAAGAGAATATGGAAATCTAGCACTTCTTTGTTTCACTAGAATTCATGTAAAATAATTTGGATTGCTCAACTACATTTATCATTTTCTCCCTTTTAATAGCTAATTTTCTGTGGCAGTTGCTACAGAATTATGATTGCCTCAAATATTGACTCAACGTCATCTAAGTGGACGTAGCCAAAATGCTAAATCCACTGAGATAGGTTTGGATGTGTTCAATCTTACTATCACAAATTCACTGGGCAAAAATGTACTGTTTGCACTTTGCCCTAAGATTCTGGAGAGTGTGGCACGACATGCACAAGGAGCAAGATGACAAAAGGTGTTCTATGAACACATAGCAAAGAGATGGAGAACTAGGAATAGGACCCCTGTGTCATAGGACCCTGTGCACTGTACAAGCTACTGCTCAGATCTACAACTGGGGTTGCACAGGGGCCCACACCTAATTTATCATTATTAGGAGTGCAGTAACAGGAACATGAAAAAATAACAGTTCTTTGAAGGATGCATGCCTAAAGACACACTGATGTAGCCACTTTGAACAAAGTTATCTTGTTGTTTTGCTAGGATTCAGCACAGTACTGTAGACTTAACTTCAGCATGAAGCTGGTGCAGTAGTTAAATAAGCATGATTTGCTGGACAACTCAGGGATAGCAAGAGGAGCTGCCACAGTGCAGAGAGGGCGGTCACATTGCCCCTTACAGGGAATACTGGATAACAAAGAGGCAGGCTCCCAGCCACGTCACCTATGATATTTTAACTTCGAAATAGTTCAATTGTCAGGGAACTACTTAGGAAAAGTGGGAACTAAATGGAAAGACATGACTCTATTTCCATAAATAAAACATGCCAAACCACACAGTGGGAAGTATGGCATGACATATCCAATAGCAATCCCAATAAAATGTTCTTTGGGTATGCATCAGGGATTGTTCAGTAAGACAGTGGAAGCTGCAAAACATAACAATGACTTCTTGTTTGGAGCTTGCTTGGAACTCTAGTAACCATGAGTCCACATCCAGCCTGCAGGAACACCTCCATGTTTTCTCAACATCAGCCACTTTAAGGAGTCAGTGGCATATGCTTCCTTGCCTGCTCATTTGTGGAGGCTTACCTGCAGTTTGCTAATGCATTCTGGCACATTGGTAAACTTGACTCCTTGATCTTGCCCCAAGTATAGTCTCTCCAAAGACACTAAAGAAAAGATTTCCTCTGGAAAGGAAAAGAACTGGTTTCCTGTTAATCCAAGTATCTTCAGTTTTGTAAGTGAGCCAATGTCTGGAGGTAACTGGAAGTATTGCAAAAAGATAAGTTTCAGGTCAAAATTATTATTATTATTATTATTTTGCACCTAGGTTGTTTCCATCTTTTTGCTATTGTGAACAGTGCTACAATGAACATGGTGTGCATATATCTATTCCTGTGACGGCTCTTATTTCTCTAGGATATATTCCAAAGAGCAGGATAGCTGGATCATATGGTACTTTTGTTTCTAGCTTTTTGAGGAAGCACCAAATCGATTTCCAAAGTGGTTGTACCATTTTACATTCCCACCAACAGTGTACATAAGTGTTCCAGTCTCTCCACAACCTCTCCAGCATTTATTATTTTGTTTTTTGGATTAATGCTAGCCTTGTTGGGGTGAGATGATATCTCATTGTAGTTTTGATCTGCATTTCTCTAATGGCTAATGATCATGAGCATTTCTTCATGTGTCTGTTAGCCACCTGAATCAAAATTATTTTTAACAGTAAGAAAATAAATTAGGCTTTCGGTTTGGGGCAGATTGTTAAACAAAAAGTAGAGCAATGTAGTATCTTATACTGATGAAAAGTTTGCACATGTGTTTGCACGTATAATATTTATACTTGCAGATCTGAAATCAAAAGTTCCACTTTTTTCTGATGCTCTCTAGTCTTCACTTTTATGCACTATTTTAAACTGGAGCAAATTTTAATCTATTTATTGCACATTTATAAACTCTAATAGGGCAACTTCTTGACACTACTGAAAAAGGAAGTACTGGAATTATTATTTATTAAAATAAAAAGGAATAGTACATAGAATTTTTTATGTTCAATATAGTAATATTTAACATGCCCACGTTTCAGCATAATTTGACTTGTAAAACTTAGTATTGAATGAGGGTTATCTTTGTTAACAAGCAGTCTGTGTGTTATTGTCTTTCTCTTCTCAGGAATGAGTATCATTCATAACTCAATAAGAATTCAATGTGTTATCATTCCAAAGCACATTTTATATTTTAAGCCTTTAACTGTGGAATGAAAGATTTTGTCTGCTGAAAAAAAAAATGTCTTACATCAGTGGTAGAATACTAGAGGGGGATGGGCAAATGGCCTTTAATGAAATCTCCAAAATTCTACAAGGCAGGTTGCTACCTGAGAAGAGTTTAAAGCTCTAGATTATCTTCCTAAATCTTAAAATTAACATCAAAATATTTACTTTCTTGAAAGGCAGTTTAAAGATAGATTAGAAAATTTTTTTTAAAAAAACCAACACAAGTTTCTAGAAATTGAAAATTAAACAAAAGGTTGTTTTAAAATACCGTTAAGCCCTAAGACTTTTATAATGTATAGTGAATACCTGAGACTGGTGTTCATGGCCAGGAAAAGCAGACCTATTCTTTAGTTACAGCTGTTGATTTCTAAATTTGTTTTTCTCCCTCTACAGTTGTACTTTGCTTTTTACAAGTCTGTTGTTTTTTTAATTTTCAAATATTAAAAAGAAACATAAATGCATGTGTGCCTATCACCCAAGTCTGTTAATAAATAAAATGAGAAACTAAAATTAGAGTTCAGGTCCTCTATGATACCCTTCCCATTTCCTTGACTTCCTCCCTCCCTCTTCCCAGAGGCAGCCACTATCAGGAATTGAGTGAGTTTTCTTCCAATTCATAATTCTAGGCTTTTATTACATATATATATATAAATTCATAAAATGTGTGTTGTGTGTGTATGTAGTTTTGTGTGATTTAAAATTTTATAAGTGATATCAGAATGTTCTGTAATTTGGTGTTGTTTAATAAACATTACAATTTTGAAATCTACCACACTGTACGAGTGTGTGTGTGTGTGTGTGTGTGTGTGTGTGTGTGTGTGTGTGTAGCCCTGGTGGCGCAGTGGTTTAGAGATTGGCTGCTAACCAAAAGGTTGGCAGTCTGAATCCACCAGTTGCCCCTTGGAAACCCTACGGGGCTGTTCTACTCTGTCCTATAGGGTCGCTATGATTTGGAATCGACTGGACAGCAACAGAGTTATATATAGAAAGAGAGAGACAGAAAGAGAGTTCTAGTTCATGTAATTTATTATAAAGTATTCCATTTTATAAAACTGCTACAATTTATTTGCCCATTCTCCTACTGACATTTCGATTGTCTCTCATATCTCATGATTACAAACAATGCTATGATGGAAATTTTTGAACACACCACTCTGTGTACATGTAGGAGAGTTTCCCTAGGGACAAATTTGTTTTTGCAGTTTCCCATGAGTGGAACATTAAGGCCTAAAGTAGTATGTGTCAGAAAAGCCTGCTATTTAAGGAAACCCTGATGGGGGGGTCTTTGTTAAGAATATCAACCTGGAGCTCAGTAGCTCTGGGTTGGAATCCTGGCTCTATCACTTACAGATTGTGCGGCCTTGCACAAGTTTAAGTGCCTTTTGTCTCATTTTCCTCACATATCATTTAAGGGTAATAATATTATGTACATCAAAGAGTCATTGTGAGGATTACATGAGATAATTCATGCAAGGCACTTAGCCCAGTGACTATCACATACGTATTCTAAATAAACAGTAGTCATTCTTACTATCGTTATTTAGGGAAAAAAAAAAATATATATATATATATAAATACTACCTTGCTGGATATATTTTTTAACCCTAGGTTTTCGACCATAAAGTCAGTTTGAATAGATGATTGTGATGGAGTTGACGTTTAGACACAACCACACCACCACAGAACAGGAAGCGTTCCTGATAAGAGCATAGTGATAGTGAGGATATCAGTACCTGCTGTATTTTATTATCATCCAGCGCCAGGATTTCCAAGTTCTTCAGCGCACAAATCTGCATTGGATAGTGTTCCAGCTGGTTCTGGCTGAGATCCAGGAAACGCAAGTTGACCAGGCGCCTGAAGGAGCGCCGCAGACTCCGCAGACCTGTATTGCGCAGGTAGAGCAGGTGCAGCGAGGTCCACTTACAAATGAGGCGGGGCACCTTCTCCAGCTGGTTCCCGCTCAGCCCAATTTCTGTCATCTCTGTGAGCTCGATGAGGGTGTGTGGGATGCAGTGGAGAAGGTTGTGGGAAAAATCAAGGACTGACATTTTGCTACAATGGTACAGTGAGTCGGGTATAAAGGGCACCTTGTTATAAGCCACATAGAATTTCTGCAGCATTGTCAGATTCCCAATCTCTTCTGGAATGGAATTTAGTTTGTTCTCATCCAGGTCAATGATCTCCAGGTTGTAAAGAACACAGAGCTCCTGAGGGAAAACTTCAAATTTGTTTTGCTTCAGGTAGATCTCCCTCAGTTTGGTCTGGTTCACTATTTCCTGGGGCAAAGACTTCAGGAGGTTTCCTGACAGTCCGAGCAACTCCAGATGGTGAAGGGATTTACAGATCACAATAGGAAACTCCCTCAGGTAAATGTTGTAGAGCCGGAGCTCACGCAGGGTGCGGATGTGGCTGATGACAGGAATGGAGGAGAGAAGAAGGGGGTTGTTGCTCAGATCTAGGCCCTCTAGGCTGCTCAGTTTCCCCAGGTCCGGGCACAGATCCCTCAGTTTGTTCTTGTTCAAGTAGAGGATCCTGACATTCTTTAAATACTGAATATCCTGGGGAATCACTTCAATCTCATTATTTTCCAAATGTACTTCTTCTAACTCTTTTAATTCTAAGATCTCCAGTGGAATGGTAGTCAGGTTCTGATTAGAAGCATCAATGAAAAATGTTTTATCATTGATGTGTTGTGGATTATCTCTCTGAATTTTAGATGAATGTTCTACTGATTTTATAACGTCCATTGACATTATTTTGAAGGAAGTTCAAACGTTCAAGGCCTGAAATATTGTGAAAAGAAAGGGGAATAAAAAGCAGAATTTACCTGCCACCAGACTTGGTATCCTTAAAAAAGATAAAATTCAAATTTAGTTCATTCAATTTAGTACTTGAAATCATAACAAAACACAAAATTTAGGGTTGTGTGTTTCTTGTTAGGAGAAGAATTGACGTATAGACTCCTCTATCAAGTTCACTCTTATATTGAAAAAAAAAAGATTGTCTAATTTCAGTTTTTAAAAATGTCTATCTTGATTCTGTTTCCAGTTAGGGATGAAAAGGTTGTGAAAGATCATTGCTCCTACATAACAATGAGAAAACACTAAGAAAAAAATCAGAAACATTGAAAGAGCTACCAGTACAGTAGTCAAGTGAATGCTTAATCAATAAAAAGGCAACTAAAAAATGGTAGGAAAACTTCGCAGTATTTTTACTTATCCTTGACCCACACTCTCCCTGGCTCAGTGGCGGTCTAGAAGACAACAGCCTACATTTCCAGTGCAGGAACCTGCTTCATGGTTCTGGAGAAAGCAAAGCAGACCTTATTTAAAAATTACTGTGCTTGTTGTAATCTGCTGGGAACTACATGAAGGACACTAATTTTTCTGTTTTGCCTAAGTAGGAACACACTCACATTGGCAAAGTGGCAGGAATTTCTCACAAACATTGAAAGGTGATCAAAAACCTAGTAGGCATCTGCAGCAAGAGATTATGGTTAAGACATTCAATAGACCGACTAAAGTCAGGGAGGAATCAGGGAGAGTTTCTTTGGGAAATTAGGGCATTCGAAAGAACTTGTGTGTACTGGGAAATTTAGAGAGACACTTGTGTGCTCAGGACAGGATGCATGCTCAGAAAAGACCTGAAAAGACCCTCAGCATTCACCACTAGCTGATCTATATGCTCAGTGTAAGCAGGAAGTGAAGGCTGCAAAATTGTAAGCAGCCTGACTAAGTGTTAAAGGAGTGCCCCAGCACAGAGCTAATGTGGAGAGGTTTTTGTTTGTTTGTTTTGTTTTTTAAGCTCCTGGTGTTCAAGGAAATCTCAGTCAAAAGATAAGCTAAGTCTTAAGCAATCAAGAACAGAAAACCCTGTGAAAGGGGAGAGAATCTGATTTCCAGTTACTACATTATAATATTCAAACATCCTGTTTTTGACAGAAAATAACAAAGTATACAAAGAAACAAAAAAGTATGGCCCATTCAAAGGTAAAAAATAAATTGACAGAAACTATCCCTGAGGAAGACTAGACATTGGGCTTACTAGACAGAGAGCCCTGGTGGCACAGTGGTTAAGAGCTCGGCTGTTAAGCAAAAGGTCTGCAGTTCAAATCCACCAGGCTCTCCTTGGAAACCCTATGGGGCAGTTCTGCTGTGTCCTATAGGGTCACTATGAGTCAGAATTGACTCAATGACAAGGGGTTTGGTTTTGGTTTTGGTATTAAATATGCTCAAACAGCTTAAGAAAACCATAGAGAACTAATTAAAAGAAACCAGGAAAATGATGTATGAACAAAATGAGAATATCAATAAAAAGATAGAAATTATAAAAGAAATCAAATAGAAATTATGGTGCTAAAATTACAGTTGCTAAAATGAAAAATTTACTAGAGAAGTTCAACAGCAGATTTGAGCAGCCAGAAGAGAGAATCAGCAAACTTGATGATAGAAAAATTGAAATTATCCAGTCTGAGGAACAGATAGAAAAAAAGAATAAAGAAAAGGGAACACAGTCTAAGGGCCCAGTGGGACACCATCAGTGGACCAACATATGCACTGTGGGAATCCCAGAAGGAGAAGAGAGAGTGAGAGAGAAAGGGGCATAGAAGAAATGAAGGATAGAATAAAATAATTCATAGAATCAAATGAGAATGAAAACATATCTTACCAAAACCTTTGGGATACAGCAAAAGCAGTGCTTAGAGGTCAATTTATAGCAATAAATGCATTTGTCAAAAAATAAAAAAGGGCGAAAATCAAAACATTAACCCTACAGCTTGAACAAATATAAAGAAAGCAGAAAAAAGAAGCCCTTGGGCACCAGAAGAAAGGAAATAATAAAGATGAGAACAGAAATAAATGAAATAGAGAACAGAAAAACAATGAAAGAATCAACAAGACCAAAAATTCATTCTTTGAAAGGATCAACAAAATCAACAAACCACTGACAGCTGGGGATTGGACAGCCCCATAAAACAAAATGGGACTAATGAGGCACAACAGCCCAGGGACAAGGACTAGAAGGCATAAGGGGACAGGAAAGCTGGTGATAGGGAACCCAAGGTTGAGTAAGGACACTGTTGACATGTCATGGGGTTGTTAACCATTGTCATAGGGCAACATGTGTACTAACTGTTTAATAAGAAACTATTTTGTTCTGTAAACCTTCATCTAAAATGAGAATAGCAGCACAACTGGAAGAAAGTAATCAATGTCACTGAATTGTGCATGTAGAAATTTTTGAAATGGTGTATCTTTGGCTATGTATATTTTCACCAAAAAAAAAAAGGCAAAAAGGGAGAGGGTTGACATGTCATGGGGTTGTTAACCAATGTCATAAAACAATATGTGTACTGACAGGTTAATGAGAAACTATTTGTTCTGTAAACCTTCACCTAAAGTAAAATAAAAGAAAAAACAAACAACAAACCACTGACCAAACTGACAAAAGAAAAACAGGAGAGAAAGTAAATAATCCAAATAAGAAATGAGATGGGTGATATCACAACAGACCTAACTGAAATAAAAAGGATCATAACAGAATATGAAAAATTATACTCCAACAAATTTGAAAACCTAGAGAAAATAAACATATTTCTAGAAACACACTACCTACCTAAACTAACACAAACTGAGGTAGAAAAACTAAACAAACTCATAACAAAAGAAGAGATTGAAGAGGTAATTAAAAAAAAAAAAACTCCCCTCAATAACAAAAAAAGCCTGGGCCCAGATGGCTTCACTGAAGAATTCTACCAAACCTTCAGAGAAGAGCTCACACCAACACTACTCAAACTATTTCAGAGCAAATAAAGGAAGGAATAGTCCCAAATTCATTCAATGAAGCCAGCATAACCCCGATACCAAAACCAGGCAAAGACACCACAGAAAAAGAAAACTACAGATGAATATCTCTCATGAACATAGATGCAAAAATTCTCAAAAAAATTCTAGCCAATAAAATTCAACAGCATATCAAAAAAAATAATACATTCTGACCAAATGGGATTCCACATCAGGTATGCAGGGTTGTTTCAACAGTAGAAAAACAACATAATCCACCACATAAATAAAACAAAAGAGCCACATGATCATATCAATCGATACAGAAAAGGCATTTGACAAAGTCCAACATCCATTCCTGATAAAAATTCTCAGCAAAAAAGAAATAGAAGGGAAATTCTTCAGCATAATAAAGGGTGTTTATACAAAACCAACAGCCAACATCATTCTAAATGGAGACAGACTGAAAGCATTCCCCTTGAGAATGGGCACCAGACAAGGATGCCCTTTATCACCACTCTTATTCAACATTCTGCTGAAAGACCTAGCTAGAGCAATAAAGTAAGAAAAAGAAATAAAGGGCATCCGAGTTGGTAAGGAAGAGGTAAAACGGTCCCTAGTCGCAGAGGCTATGATCTCTGTCTTAGTTATCTAGTGCTGCTATAACAGAAATACCACAAGTGGATGGCTTTAAGAAAGAGAAATTCATTTTCTCACAGTCTAGTAGGGTAGAACTCTGAACTCATGGTGCCAGCTCCACGGGAAGGCTTTCTTTCTCTGTCAGCTCTGGGGGAAGGTCCTTGTCATCAATCTTCCCTTGGTCTAGGAGCTAATCAGCGCAGGGACCCCAGGTCCAAAGGATGTGGGCTCCTGGCTCTTCTTGCTTGGTGGTAATGAGGTTCCCATGTCTCTCTGCTAGCTTCTCTCTTTGATATCTCAAAAGAGATTGACTTAAGACACAACCTAATCTTGTAGATTGAGTCCTGCCTCAGTAACATCATACAAGTAGGGTTTACAACACATAGGAAAATCACATCAGATCACAAAATGGTGGACAATCACAAAATACTGGGAATCATGGCCTAGCCAAGTTGACACACATTTTTGGGGGACACAGTTCAATCCATAACAATCTTATACACAGGAAACCCCAAAGAATACACAAGAATCCTACTGGAACTAATAGAAGATTTCAGCAAAGTAGCAGGATACAAGATTAACATACAGAAACAGATTCCTCTACATCATCAAAGAGAACTTTGAAAAGGAAATCACCAAATCAATACCATTTACAGAAGCCCTCAAGAAGATGAAGTACTTAGGAATAAATCTAAGCAGGGAAGTAAAAAACCTATACAAAGAAAACTACAAAACACTACTGCAAGAAACCAGAAGAGAACTATGTAAGTGGAAAAACATACTATGCTCATGGATAGGAAGACTCAACATTGTGAAAATGTCAATACTACCCAAAGCGATCTACAGATACAATGCAATCCTGATCCAAATTCCAACAGCATTCTTTAACAAGATGGAAAAACAAATCACCAACTTGATATGTAAAAGAAAATGCCCTGGATAAGTAAAGCGTTACTGAAGAAGAAGAACAAAGTGGGAAGCCTAATATTACCTGATCTTAGAACTCTTATACTACCACTGTAGTCAAAACAGCCTGGTACTGGTACAACAACAGATACGTAGACCGATGGAACAGAATTGAGAACCCAGACGTAAATCTATCCATCTATGAGCAGCTGATATTTGACAAAGGGCCAAAGTCCAGTAAACTGGGAAAAGACAGTCTCTTTAACAAACAGTGCTGGCATAACTAGATATTCATCAGCAAAAATTTGAAATAAGACCCATACCTCACACCATGTAAAAGCCACAGCTAACATCATACTCTGTGGTGAAAGGCTGAAAGCTTTTCCCCTAAGATCATGAAAAAAAGACAGATGACTGCTTTTACC